GATTCTGTCCACCCATATGAAGCCAGTTTGGGGGCCATCAAGAAACATATAGTGAGTGTCCTATGAAGCCATTCACAAATGTGGGACATTTTCAAGACCACCGCTGCCATTAAAGGCACAATTCAAACATGACTGGGCCTGGCAAATTAGCCTAGTGGATGGAAGATCTTTCTCTCTGTCCTCTCTTTGGATTCTGACTTTCCAATAAACAAACAAACAAACAAACAAACAAATAAATAAAAATAAAATAGAGCCTGGCGCAGTCCCTAGTGGCTCAACTTGAATGCACCAGGATCCCATATGAATGCCGGTTCTAATCCCAGCAACCCTGCTTCCCATCCAGCTCCCTGCTTGTGCTGTGGGAGAGCAGTTGAGGACAGTCCAAAACCTTGGGACCTGGCACCTGTGTGGGAGACCCAGAAGAAGCTTCTGGCTTTGGATGGGCTCAACCTTGACTGTTGCAGCCACTTGGGGAGTGAATCATTGGATGGAAGAAGTTCCTCTCTGTCTCTCATCCTCTCTATATACTTGACTTTGTTTTTAAAAATATTTATTTTGCAAATAAATAAATAAATAACATAGAACCCAGTGCGGTAGCCTAGTACCTAAAGTCCTCACCTTGCAAGTGCCAGGATCCCATATGGGTGCCAATTCTAATCCTGGCAGCCCTGCTTCCCATCCAGCTCCCTGCTTGTGGCCTGGGAAAGCAGTTGAGAACAGCCCAAAGCCTTGGGATCCTGCATCTGCGGGGGAGACTTGGAGGAATTTCCTGGCTCCTGGCTTCAGATTGGCACAGCACTGGGTGTTGCGGTCACTTGAGAAGTGAATCATCGGACGAAAGATCTTCCTCTCTGTATATCTGACTTTGCAATAAAAATAAATAAATTTTTAAAAATTTATTTTACATACAAATAAAAAAATAGGGCCCAGTTCGGTAGCTTAGCAGCTAAAAGTCCTCGCCTTGAACGCACCGGGATCTCATATGGGTGCCAGTTCTAATCTTGGCAGCCCCACTTCCCATTCAGCTCCCTGCTTGTGGCCTGGGAAAGCAGTCCAAGAGGGCACAAAGCCTTGGGACCCTGCAACCGAATGGGAGACCCAAAAGACGCTCCTTGTTCCTTTGGACAGGCTCTGGCTATCCACTTGGGGAATGAATCAGCAGACGAAGGATCTTCCTTTCTGTCTCTCCTCCTATCTGTATATCTGACTTTCCAATAAAAAACAAAAGTAAGTAAACAAATAAATAAAATAAAATAATCTATCCACTGGGTCACTCCCCAAGTGGCCACAATAGCTGGAGCTGAGCTGATCTAAACTGAGAAGATGCAAGGTTCCAACGCCTTGAACCATCCTCCACTGCTTTCCCAGACCACACACAGGGAGCTGGATGGGAAGTGGAGCAGCCCGGATACAAACTAGTGCTCATATGGAATCCTGGTGCATGCAAAGCAAGGACCCCAAAACACCTGAGTGGTTTTGATAGTTCTGAAAAGTTGATTTCATTGCCCCAGGGTTGACAAATTCTTTCAAAGGTCTATCGGTTGACAAATTCCACCTTAGTGTATCCGTGAGCCAGAACATGCTACAAAGCTTGGCAAGGAGAGTTGTCCAACCTGATCTGATTTCCTGCTAACAAGGCTGTCAGTGTTGGCCAAGATGTGCTGGCTGTCATGTTCCCTGTGTGCATCTGGGCATGCTGTCCACGGGCATAGGCATCAGCAGCTGAGGAGGCTCAATCCTGATACATGCACCAATTCGAGGTCAGACCACTATCTTGTGATTGCCCTGTGGTAATCACAAGTGGTCTAGTTGGGAACCTCCCAAGAAACCAGCCTGGGATGACTGCACACTCGACTCTTGTGTGTGCCAGTGTCTGCAGTCTGTCACCTGCACCAGGCAACACATGTCCCGGTGGATGGAGCTGCCGGCTCAGTTCCATCCCAGCTCCATAGCTCACATGAAGTAACTGCGGCTTTGGCCCAGCCCAGCCAGCCGGCACAGACCAGTTCCTCACCCACACCAGCGGGAATTGCAGCCTAGTCAGGGCGACTCCCAAAAACCGCCATCAGTCCCACTCCTAACCCCAGTTTTTTTGTGTGTGCCAGTTTCTGCAGTGGCATAGCCTGGCACAGCCTGTATCCTATCCAGCTCTAATGCACACTCATGGGTGCTGCAGTTTAGCTCAGCTAGCCCAGCCCCAAGACTGGTCCCTCAAGTATGCTGACTGGTGCCACCACCCTGCCCAGCCTGGCTCACCCCCAGCTGTGGTTCTCATGCTCACCAATGAGAGATACAGCCTAGCATGGGAGTGCCCATAGTTCCTCTGCCAGTTATGCTCCCAGCCACAGATCTTGTGCCTGCCAGGGGGGATACTGAGATCAAGCCTTACATGACTCATACCCAGTCCTGGCACTTGCCAGCTAGTGCTGTGGCCTAGCTCAGCTGGCCCACTCCCAGCCCTCATGTGAACTTGCAAGAGTTGTGATCCAACCAGGCCCAACCTGTACTGTCTTGGTACTTGCCCATGCCATTGTGTGCCATGGACTGGCCCAGCCTGACCCATCCTAACTTGGTCCAGACACAGCTCCAACTCTTACATTCACCAGTGGGAAATGCAGCCCACCAGGGGAATGCCCAGAGTTCCCCTAGCAGGCCTGTTCCAAGCTCTGGGGCTTGTACCTGCTGGCAGGTATCTTGACTCAGTCCGGCATGGGTTGCCTGCAGTCTCACTCTAGCTGCCAGCTGTTGCAGCCTATCCCAGCCAGGCACGACTCACACATCCTGTCCTGCCTCTTGTGTGCGCCAGCAGATGGTGCAACCTGACCCAGCCAGGTCTGTCCCCAGATGCAGCCCACACAAATGCTGAAGAGTGCTACAGCCCTGCCTGTCCTGGCCTGCACCCACCCCTGGCTCTTGTGCTCTTTAGCAGGAGCAAAGGCCTAGTAGGGGAGTTCCCCAAGTTCTCCTATCTAGTACACTCCCAGCCTGGGATCCCATGCATGTTGGCACGTGCAGTGGTCCTGCTTGGCATTGTCTGCTCAGTTCGAACCCCTGCATGTGCCAGCAGGTGCTGCAGCATGGCCCCACCCAGAGTCCTCCCAGCCCTAGCATCTATAAGTATCAGGTGGGTTCCAGTCAGGTGAGTTCCACCGTCCAGTGTGACTCAGCCCATCTTCACCCATAGCTCTCTGTGTAAACTGACAGGTGCTATAGTCCCACAAAGGCAAGCCTACAATTCCCTTGCAGAATTTGCCCCCAAATCTGATTCTTTGGTGTTCTGGTAGGTGCTGCAGGCCACCTGAGGTGACCCACCCCCTGCTCTGACACTTGTGGGCCTAGTCTGACATTCTGACACTCTGACTCTCTGGCCTAGCCCAGCCATCCATGCCTTTCAGCCCCAGCTTTTGCATGTGTCAGCAGGTGGTGGGTGATGCTATTTAGCCCAGCTCAAATCTCCCACATGGGCAGGTACCTTGGCCTGACCCAGACAAGCCTTCGGGTTTCCCCCAAAGCTACTCCATCTCAGCTCTCTCATCTGCCTGTAAGTGCAGTGGCCCAATCCATGGAAGACCCCAGGAGTCTTCCCGGTTAAACATGCCCTTAGCCGCTTCCACTGCAACATGTCCCCACACCCCCTTACCAGGGGAATCTGCAGCACCCTACCACCTGGGTGCCGGGGTGGCATGTCCTGACCTGGTATTCCCTGACTTCCTCACATCTTTTTTTTTTCTTTGCTTGTTTTTTAAAATAAGCAACTATGTTGGTATACTGGTATAGTTAACACAAATTTGGCATTAACCGGGCCCAAAATGTCTGCCAGTTACTGGTCGTTTTTCTCTTACAAGTGTAACACTTTGGGCCCAGTGTGGTACCCTAGCAGCTAAAGTCCTCGTCTTAAACATGCCGGGATCCCATATGGGCGCCAGTTCTAATCTCGGCAGCTCCATTTCCTATCCAGCTTCCTGCTTGGGGGAAAAGGCAGTCAGTTGAGGAGGTCCCAAAGCCTTGGGATCCTGCACCCACATGGGAGATCTGGAGGAGGTTCCTGGCTCCTGGCTTCAGATTGGTGCAGCACCAGTCGTGCTCACTTGGGGAGTGAATCATCGGATGGAAGACCCTCCTCTCTGTTTCTACTCCTCTCTGTATATCTGACTTTGCAATAAAAATAATCACATCTTAAAAAAAAAAAAAAGGCAGTGTAACACTTGGCTAGGTGCAAGGCCACCTAGGCAGTTGCTGCAGCTGGGGCCATTCCTTGTTCTAAAAATTCTCTTTCAGAAATGCAAGACTCATGTCTGTCTTGAGCAGACCATGCACACACCTTCCTGGGCTGTGTTTGAAGAACCTGACAGTGTGATCCTTACTTTCAATTTGAAATCCTCAGGGCTAGAATTTTGCCTGTACTAAGGCTAGAATTTTGAACTGTGAAGGAAAGTGACTAGGCAGACAATGGGTGATAGAAATCTTCTACTTGCTAAGTCATGAGTCTTTGTAAAGAGGATAAACAGGTTAAGTTTGTTCTCCTGATAGCTACAGGCCAGATTTTTACTCAGTTATTACAACATTACCACAAACATGTGGATTCTGCAAAAGTTGCCTAGCAACACTGTACTTAGAGACAACACCAAATGGGAGAGAGTAACTGGAAATTTGAATCAGAAATGGCCTGGGGCAGGTGGGTGTAGTTCCTGTCTCCAGCTGGCCAGTACTACACTTGGAGGAGCAGGACATTTTAAAAACCAAAACAGTCACTTGAAATTTCGGTTGGGGGTTCTGGAAGTCCCTTGCATGGGAGCCCAGTGCGTCTGTCCGGTGTGGTCTTTGTGATATTCCGTCATGGCGTATCCAGGCCAGGGCCAGAAAGTGCAGGTGTCGCATTCAGGTGTGGCTGTATGAGCAGGTGGACATGTGGCTAGAGGGCTGCATCATTGGCTCTGATGAATACATAAACCTCATACTAGATGATGCAGAAGAGACTCATTCTCAAACAAAGTCAAAAGTCGGATCATGCTAAAAGGAGATAATATTACTTTGCTACAAAGTGTGTCCAACTAGAAATGATGAATGAAATGAGAAATTATTGAGAGAGCTGTGTTTTTGTTTGTTAGGTATCTTTTTATTGGGAATATAATTCTGAAACACTTGTTCATAATGCTTTGATTACCTTTATGTTATTACCACAATGCAATAAATACTGTGGGATTTTTATTTGAAAAAAAAAAATTTCAGTTTGGACTTGGCTGCAGCTACCTTAGAACTCTGTGCCATGGTTTTAATTTTGCCTTTTAAGTTTTCAAGACCACTAGACTTCCATGTCGTTGTGTAGTGTTTGCACCCAGGCCAATGTACAGCAGAGAGTGCTTTGTTGGGTTTCAGATCAGCAAAGAGCCAGCCAGGTAAACAGAGTGTTCTGCCATTGTGCCTGGCCAGCCGCAGGGTCAAGGCAAGGTGGCATGGGGAAGCAGCTCAAGTACTGGCTCTTGTTTTCCACTCCCAGAGAATCCCCTCTTGCCCACTTACCTCTCCCATTCTGTAGATTGACCTGGGTGCCAAGAAGTCAAAGGCTGGGGCTCTGGCCCAAGACCTCTTCCCTCCTGGTCTGGAACCCAGGCCCTTTCGCCCTGGCCTCTTTGGAGAAGCTCCCAGTTCTAGGGAAGCTTGGCAGGTGGCAAAGTGGGAGTCAATCAAGTATCTGATGGAGTGTTCAACTCTCAGACAGGAGGAGTGGGCTGAGGCTGGAAATGACAGCAGGGATCTTCCAAATTACTTCAATTTCTTTTTTTTAATATAAAATTTTATTTTTTATAATGATTACATGGTTGATCAGGGTGGAAAGCATTAGGGAGAATTGGGTGAACTCATTGCTTCTAAATTTTCTATTTCTTCTTCTTGTTCCTGGGGGAAGGGAGAGACAAAGGGGGAAACCTCACATGACTTTCCTTGCCCAAGGATGAGGAACCCCCATCTCATATTGACCGAGTCTCAATGTGTACATATTCTGAGGGTTCTGTCCAAGTAGTTTGGATAGTTCTGAAATGCTGCTGTTTTCACCAATCCAAGGGTGATGTCACCCTCCCAATGTCCATTGACTCCATTCACCAAGATATTTTTTTGCTGTCGTAGTTTGTTTGGGGTAGTTGTCCAGGTAATTCTGTTCTTCTTCTGCTACAGCACCAAATGAACTGCCATATTTCCCTTTACAACAACTTCAATTTCTATTATTTAAGAGGGCAAGAGTAGAAAAAGACCAAGGGGGAAGGGGAAGAAAAAAACCTCTCAATATCTGCTAACTCTACAAGCTTTTATCAAAGAAGAGGCAAATTAATCTGCCAACATGAGCATTTCGGGAAGTAATTAAACCAAAAAAAGTACATACATTTTAAGTCAAGGCTCTTTATCTAGCTCACATGATAGTGAGCACCTAATTACCTAGGCTGTAATCAGCAAGATAAAGATGGTCCCTAGCCTCAGGGCTTTCATTTTTTTCCTAGGTGATAGGAATCAGTAACACTGAGATAAATATAAAGCCTTGAAGGAAACAGAGGGCCAGAGCTGTAAGGGAGGGAATGGGGGTTGGGATTAGCCACTGGAGGGGTTTTGGAGGTACTGGCTGCAGGGATCTAAGGGGCGTTTCCGTGTTCCAGTCCCTAAGAAAGCACACCATTTTTATGGATCAATAAAAAGCAGTTATCTTTATTGAGGCTTCACAAAAAAATTAAGAATTCTGTTTGTAGCCAGGAATGACAGGAGGGGAGGTGTTGAGGGAGAATACTAAAAACCACTCCGGATCAAGAGAATGCTGCCTTGTGGCACACCAGTGTAGACTTGTGTCCCAAATGGTTAAAATTCAATTCGGGTTCACACGCACAAAGAGACCTTTATACATCACTTAGCAAAGATCTGAAAACCTTTCTTAGCATTTTCAGCTGGGCGCCAGGAAAAATGCGTCGTGTACTGTGTCCAGTGTGAAGGTGTATTAAACCCAGTACAACTGTCCAGCTATAGCAATTTAAGCCACAAAACTACGTTAACAAACGTTAAGCACCCACTGATGTGCAAAATTCACATAGCATACTCTAATTCACTTCCCTGAAGGAAGGCCTGGGGGCTTACACGCTGGTGCTTAGAAATTGCCACTCCAGCAATACATCTTTTTTTTTTTTTTAAATATATGCTTATATTTATATAAAATATTACAGCAATACATCTTTAAAAACAAAAGCTCCACAAGCAAGAAATGCAAAAATACGCCTCAACGGTTATTTATAACGAGAAAATCCGAAGACACTTGTCAGAGCAGTAAAAAATGCATCAGATCACATTTTCATAGAGTATTAGAGTTCTTAAGGAGAACTTAAGTTTGCACTTAATCGGGTCAGTGGTTTTGCCAACTGCCCACGTGTTGGCAAACAAAGATAAACACCCTGGGTCGCACTGACAGCACCTGGCAGCGTGCTAAGGCCCACTGTGCTTCTGTTTCTATTTACCATCGACCCGCCTTGGGGCGGCTGGAGAGGGCCACTCCGGCCATAACGGCCTCCTCAGGGGAAATCTGAAGCACAAGGGGGCCGCCCGCACTTCGCAGTGTCCCTGGCGGGCGGGCGGTCGCAGCCCCGCCGTTCACTCCTCCCGCAAAAGTCCGGAGGAGTCGTCACCATTTCGCCGCTCCGACCTCGACCGGGGAGCGCGACCGTCCACGCCCAGAGCGCGCAGTGACCGCCCGCCGCCCGCGAAGGGACGCCGAGGCTGAGAGGCCGCCGCGGACAAGGGCCTCAAGTCACGCGGTCCCCGCCTCTCCCTCCAGACCCCAGCAAGCCCGAGCAGCGGCGACGAGGCCGCAGCGGCCCCGGCGTTCGTTTCTGCTTGGGGAAGGGGAAAAAAACAACCAAAAAACCCGAGGTCCCTCCCCGGAGGCCGCCTGGGCTTCCCCGGCCCGGCCCCTGCCCGGGCGGCGTCCACCTTGCGCCGGGTCGGGCCCCCGGCCGCCCGAGCTCGCTCATAGGCCGCGGGCGGCGCCCGGATCCGCCCTACACCGGGTGCGGCGCCGGGCGAGGGCGGAGCCAACCGGTTCGCGCCAAAATCGCGTAGCCAGGCCCTCCCCCGCGGGCGGCGCCGCGCCCTCGCTGTTTTTTCAAACCCGGAGCTGGGCGGGGATTGGTGGGCTGCCCGCTCACGTGGTTAACGGTCGCGGGAAGCCGCGGAGCCCGAACTTGCGCTGGACCTGCGGACGGGCCAGACTCGGCGTCCAGTCCGTGCGGCCCGGCCCGGGGCTGTCCGCGCCTCCGCCATCGCCGCCTCAGCCGCCGCCACAGCCCGCAGCGCCGAGCGCCCGTGAGCCGCCGCAGCCGCCCGCCGCCACGCAGTCTCGCCGCCGCAGCCGCCGCGTCCCGGCGCGCCCAGTCGCACGTGGCGGACCCGCCCCCTGGGCCGGCCTCGTCCTGGGCTCGGCGGACCCCGGGTGTCCGGTCCTCGGTCCCGGTCCCAGGCCCGCGATGAGTTTCCTGAGCCGGCAGCAGCCGCCACCGTCCCGTCGCGCCTCGGCCGCCTGCAGCTTGCGGCAGAAGCTCATCTTCTCGCCGTGCAGCGACTGTGAGGAGGAGGAGGAGGAAGAAGAGGAGGAAGAGGGCAGCGGCCACAGCACCGGAGAGGACTCGGCTTTTCAGGAGCCCGACTCGCCTCTGCCTCCCGCCCGCAGCCCCGCCGAGCCGGGTCCCGAGCACCGCCGCTCGCCCGGCCCGACCCCCGGCAGTCCCGGGGAGGAACTGGAGGAGGACATGTTGCTGCCCGGCGCCTGCCCGAGCGCCGACGGGGCGGCCGGCGGTGCCGAAGGCGACTCCTGGGAGGAGGAAGGCTTCGGCTCCTCGTCTCCCGTGAAATCGCCCGCGGCCGCCTACTTCCTGGGCAGCTCCTTCTCTCCGGTGGGCGGCTGCGGCGGCGGCGGGGGTCCGGGGGACGCGTCCCCGCGGGGCTGCAGGGCGCGCACGGCCAGCGTGGGGCCCTGCTCGCCGCTCCCGGAGCACCCCGGCACGCCGCCCCACAAGACCTTCCGTAAGCTGCGGCTCTTCGACACGCCGCACACGCCCAAGGTGAGAGAGGCCTGGGCTGGCCGGGGCCCCGCGCCCGCCGAGCCTTTAACAAAAAAAAAAGGCCGCGCCGCCGCTGCCCGGGTTCGGTTACATAACCGCCCGGCCGCACCCCACGCCCCGCTTCGCTTTCCTGCGCCGCCACCAAAAAAAAAAAAAAAAAGTTGGCAGCCCCTCTTTTGGGCTGTGCCCCAGAAGTTGTCCGTTACGATTATGTAACTGAACAATGGGGGCCTCGTCTGGAACTTGTTGATGTGACAAAGGGGACCGACGGGGATTTGCAGGTGGCTCAGGATTTGTCGCCCCGAGCGCGTCCGGCCGCAGTGCAGCCGCGGTTGACGTGGTTTGCCAGGATGCTGGAGCTGCCACCTGACACCCCTCCGAGCCATATGGTGCCTTTTAAATGCAGAGATTGGGGCTGTAATTTGGGCGGCGCTGGCCAAAGGAGTTGGGTTACACACACACACACACCTTGCACTTGTGGTTTAGTATGGTGTGACGCGACGGGGGAAAGTTTGAGGTCTGGAGGGAACCTGCGCTGCGACCCGTGAGCGAAGGCTGCCCTTTTTGGTTTTTTCACAGGCTCGCCCCGACGTAGAGTGTTGGGTGAGCGTTTGTTTATATCCTTGGGTGTACTTGGAGTGATTGGCTGAGGGAATCTTTTCAGGATATGTGGCACCTGCTCGTTGAATGGTGTGCAGGTCACCCCGCTTGTAGCGCTGTGGGCTACACAGCCGGCTGAAAACCACACCCACGCATCCCAGACGTTCAGCCCCACTCCTTGGTGAGTTGAGCGTGGAAAGGGCAGCTTCTTAGGGCGTGCGTGCGTTTGGTGCTTAGGGCATCGTTAGCCGTAAGCCTGCACAGAGAGGCCCTGGGCGGACAACAGGCAGCTTCCCTGTGGATCGGGCAGCTCGCAGAGGCCCAGGAAGGGGAGAAGGCCCGTCCAGGCCCTGGCTTAGCTGGGGGAGGGGAGCCATCGTGGGGCCCAGCCTCGACTGAGTTGAAAGTGTTGGTTTGTTAACTTTTGGCCACCGAAAGGGACTGTTTATGCATCAGTACCCATTTTTTGGGCTGCAGACTGACTTTACTGTTGTTATTTTCAAAAAGAGGCAGTTAGTATCTAGTAAAGTAGCTGGCTGGCTTGGTTAGCAGCCTAACAAAGGCGTGAGTGGTGCTGTGACCTGGACGTCCTGGCCCAGGCTAGGCTGGTGGCATCCCGGCAGAGAAGGCCTCCTAGGACTCGAGCCTAAAGTCTTCATTTTTCCTTCCTTCTCCAGAGTTTGCTCTCCAAAGCACGGGGCATCGATTCCAGCTCTGTTAAACTCCGGGGTGGTTCTCTGTTCATGGATACTGAAAAATCCGGAAAAAGGGAATTTGACACACGACAGACTCCCCAAGTGAATATTAACCCTTTTACTCCGGATTCTTTATTACTGCATTCCTCAGGACAGTGTCGGCGAAGAAAGAGAGTGTATTGGAATGAGTAAGTCTTTGTAGTTTTGCTCCCCAAACCGACCAAGATTTTTAAAACTTTATAAGATTGCTCAAAAGGTTTACTCAAAAAGCTTACTTACTTGAAAGTTATGGAGAGTGAGAGAAATCTTTGATCTGCTGGTTCACAATGGTCACGGCACCTGGAGCTGACAGAACCAGGTGTCCCAGGTTGGTTAGCAGGGAACAGGAGCTCAAGTGGAGCAGCTGGGGCATGGCTTAGGAACTAGCATCTCCAAAGGCTGCAGCTTGCACTGACCCAAAGTTTGTTTTTTTTTTTTAAGATGTGTAATTTGCCAGAGCAACAGAGGTGAAAGAGCACTTTTCCACCTGCTGGCTCATCCCCAAAATGCCCTCAAAGGGCAGGGCTGGTCCAGGCGACAACCAGTGGCCCAGGGCTCCATCTGCATTTCCTACCTGGGCTGGCAAGGACCCAAACACTTAGGGCAAAAATCCCAGATCCAGGCGTCTGGATCGCAAGTGGAGTAGTAGAGGCTTGAACTCGCACTCCTGGGATGCCAGCACTTAACATGCTACAGCAGTGGGGCCCTTAAAGTGTTTGGTGTTCTTATCAACACTTAGCTTGTGTTGAACGGCATAGACACTTATACTATGAAATTTTTAATTTTATTCAGCAGATAGATATAAATTATCTTTGTGAAAGGAGCAGGGTGGGAAAGGAAAGCATAAAATGCCTGGATATCTTGCAGGAAATGTACTGATATGAGAAGTGAGGCAAGCAGAGAGCGCTGGTTTGGAAAGACTGGCTTTCGTATGTCACGCCATCTAGTTGGTGTATCGCAGGGGAGCCTCTGGCTTCAGCCTCACGGAGTCTTAGGACTACAAAATTCCACGCTTTAATGTTTTTGTCCATTAAAATTCCATTTTATTATTCATTTACAAGATGAAATTTTAGATCTCAAATGGATGTATTAGATTTATTGATGGAAAATTAAATATTTTTTCAGTTCCTGTGGTGAAGACATGGAAGCCAGTGATTGTGAGTTTGAAGATGAAACAAGACCTGCCAAAGTAAATAATTTTACTTTTTACTGTGTCAGATTTTGGTTTTCTCTCTCTTGTTAAGTAAGCACTAAAACATAAGGCAGGATGATCTCTAAACTTCGCATGTGGTCCTTTGACCATGGCAAAACGTCATTTTTGTATCTTTGTAATATGTATTTGGATATGCTTTTCATTACAGAGGATTACAATTACTGAAAGCAACATGAAGTCACGATATACAACAGAATTTCATGAGCTGGAAAAAATTGGCTCTGGAGAATTTGGCTCTGTGTTCAAGTGTGTGAAGCGGCTGGATGGTTGCATTTATGCCATTAAGCGGTCCAAAAAGCCATTGGCTGGATCTGTCGATGAGTATGTACTACATCTTTTGTCTTTTTTTTTTTTTTTTGGCCTGGTATGTTAAACACATTAAGGTTTTTAGCACTTGAACACAAATTTGACTAAACCATTTATAATTTGTCAAAGTTAGACAAAACCTTTAAAATTATTTTTATTGAAAAATTTTAAATATTTGTTTTCATTGTATTTGAGAGGAACAAAGATCTCCCTTCCATTGGTTCACTCCGCAGTGACTAGGGGTAGGCTAGGTTGAAGCCAGGAGCTGGGAAATAATTCTTGGTCTCCTTTGAGTGGCAGAGACCCAAGTATCTGTGCCAGCACCTGTTACCTCCCAAGGTGAACGTTCACAGGAAGCTAATATCAGGAGGACAGGGACATAACCTCAGTACTGCAGTGGGGGGTACAGGCACCAAAACCACTATGTCAAGTGTCTCTCACTCCTCAGTTCCTTTCCATTTGGTCATTACAGCATTTGGGAAATAGAATGGATAGTCTGATTTTAGAGCCTGGATTAAATGTCTAATTTTTTTTTTAGGATTTATTTATGTGAAAGGCAGCGTTAGAGGTAGATTGTCATGCATGTATTCATGCCCCAAATGGCCACAAAGGCTGAAGCCAGGAGCCTGGAACTCCACGTAGTTGTCCCACGTGGGTGGCAGGAGCCCAGGTTCTTAGGCCATCTTTTACAGGTACATTAGCAGGAAGCTGGATCAGTAGGGCAGCTGGGGCTTGAACTTGTGTTCATAGGGGATGCAAACCTTGCTTGTGGCTATTTAACCAAGTGTGCCATAATGCTTGCCTCTAACTTCCTTTTTCTAATTGGCACTTAAAATTCACCGTAAAATTTAATCTTTTCTGAAACTTAGTGTCAAGATTTCTTTCTTTTCTTTTTTTTTTTTAAGTTTTATTTTATTTTTAAAGATTTATTTTTATTATTTTTTTTATTGGAAAGGCAGATATACAGAGAGGAGAGACAGAGAGGAAGATCTTCCGTCCAATGATTCACTCCCCAAGTGAGCGCAACGGTCGGTGCTATGCCGATCCGAAGCCAGGAGCCTCTTCCGGGTCTCCCACACCAGTGCAGGGTCCCAAAGCTTTGGGCCGTCCTTGACTGCTTTCCCGTGCCACAGGCAGGGAGCTGGAAGGGAAGCGGGGCTGCTGGGATAGAACCGGCGCCCATATGGGATCCCGGGGGTGCAAGGTGAGGACCTTAACCACTTGCGCCACCGCGCCGGGTCCAGATTTATTTTATTTTTATTGGAAAGTCAGATATACAGAGAGGAGGAGAGACAAAGATCTGTCCAATGATTCACTCCTCAAGTGACCTGCAACGGCCCATGCTATGTGGATCTGAAGCCAGGACCCGGGAATCTCTTCCAGGTCTCCCATGCGGGTGCAGAATCCCAAGGCTCTGGGCCGTCCTTGACTGCCTTCCCAAGCCACAAGCAGGGAGCTGAATGGGAGAACCCACGCTCATATGGGATCCCGGCGCATCCAAGGCGAGGATTTTAGCTGCTAGGCCATGTTGCTGGGCCCCTGCCAAGATTTATTATTATTATTATTATTATTATTATTATTATTATTATTATTATTGTTTTGTGATATTATTCCATAGGTACAGGGATTCCCCCTTCTACCCCCCTGGATTTCTTTTCTGACAGTCTTTGATGGAAACCTTTGGAAAACCTCATGAATTTTAACCAGGCTGTCTTAGGCAAATAGGGAGAAAAGTTGGCTTTTTTGTTTTTTGTTCTTAATGAGGTTCCAGATAAATTAATTCAGTGTAGGTTTGATTAAAGATGATTTATTTTTCTGTTGCTTTCCATTTCTCTTAGGCAGAATGCTTTGAGAGAAGTATATGCTCATGCAGTGCTTGGGCAGCACTCCCACGTGGTTCGGTATTTCTCTGCCTGGGCAGAAGACGATCACATGCTTATACAGAATGAATATTGTAATGGTGAGTAGCCTAAGGCATGTGAGCTCATGAAAATGAGCCCTGAAGAAATTCACTCTTGTTAACTATGCTGTCACGTTTTCTCTCTGAAAATCTGAGATCAGAGAGCTGGCAGGAATGTGTAGGTGAGAATGGAGAACTTGATCCCTTCTGCAGCCACTGTACATTTCTTAGTAGAACATAGACATAGAATTATAAGTGTATCTTCCTTCATCTGTTCTGTTGTTCTTCAATATCTGACACTGGGTAATGGAAGTTTATGTGGCTCATGGGTCTGGAGGTTGGGAAGGCCTACAATGCTAGCCTCTCATGAGGGTCTTTGTTATCTCATGGGGGCAAATAGGAGGACGAGAGAGGTTTACATTTGCTTTTACACAAACACACTACAATAAGTACATGAACATATTCATGGAGGTAGAGCCCTAGTAACCTAATCTCTTGCTCAGTTCCACCTCCCAGCAATTGCATAGGGGATTAAATTTGCAGCACAAATCACAGCATTCTGTCCCCTGCCCTCAAAAATCATGCCTGTCACAGAATAAACTTTTTTTTCACATTATTATTGCTATCATTTTATGATACAGTTCCATATTCCCTTATCCCCTCTCCAATTCCCTCCCCCCCGCCCCCCACCTAGTTCCTTTATATCATTACTAACATATAGTTCTTCATACTCAGTCATATGTTCATCTTTGCGGCATGCACAATGGCAGAGAGTCCAGAATCCTATTGTCAAAATATAATATAAACAGTTTCACTGTAAGTCCATCTTTGTCTGGAAACAGAGATGCCGACCACACTGCATCCTCACATCTGGTTGATAGTCTCCATTTCATAACTACTGTACATTCCCTTAAATGAAAAGTCATGATACAAAATCAACAATAGAAAGAAAAATAGAAATTTACAATGCCATGAAGTTAAATGACATGTTACTAGATATGACAGTCTTCATTACACAACTACTATACATTCCCTTAAATGAAGAGCCACAAAACAAACTCAGAATCCAAGAGAAAAAAAATTAACACCAGGAAGTTAAAAAACATGCTATTAAATGACTAACGTGTAGCTGAAGAAGTGAAAATCAAGAACCTTCTTGAAGAAAATGATGCCATTGCATTATCTACAAGTCATTGAATGATTTAATCAGAAGAAAGTGTTTTGAAGAGATGAAACCAACAGAAAACAACAAAACCCATGTGATATAGTTTCCGCTGATCTTTGTTGGAGTGTGTTTCCTCCCGACAATAAACAGATGGTTTTTGTTTTTTAATCCAGTCTGCTAATCTATGATGTTTGATTGAGATTAAGCCATTTACATTCAGAGTTAAATATACATGGGTGGTACTTTGGTCCTGTCATTTTAGGAATGGGTTGTTCATTGATTTAGTCTTCTGTTGTCCTTTTACTGGGATGTTCTTCCCGTTTGCCTTTGGTTTTGGTAGGTGCTCTTCCTCTTCTCTGTCAAGAGAACATCTTGAAGTATCATTTGTAGGGCAGGTTTGAAAGAGGCAAATTCTTTTAGCTTTTCTTTACTCTGAAAGAATTTTATTTCATTTTCAAAGATGAAAGAAAGCTTTGCAGGGTATGTTATCCTAGGCCGACAATTTTTTTCTTTTAGAGTCTGGAATATGTCACTCCATTCTCTTCTGTCCTGTAGAGTTTCCTGTGAGAGATCTCCTGTGAGCTTAGTTGGCATTCCTTTATATGTCAATTGATTTTTTTCACGTGCACATTTAAGGATCTTTTCCTTATGTTCAATTGAAGAGAGCTTGATAATCATATGTCTTGGTGAAGATCGCTTTTGATCAAGCCTGTTGGGAGTTCTGTGTCCCTCCTGGATCTTGTTTCCCAATTCTTTCTCCAGGTTAGGGAAATTTTCCTTGATTATTTCATTAAATACATTTGCAAACTCAGCTTCTCTTTCTGCACCTTCTGGGACTCCCATAACTCTTATATTTGGCCTCTCAATAGTGTCTTTCAATTCTTGAATACTTTTTTTGGCCTGATCCAGCTCTGCTTCCAGATTTTTGTTTGTTTCCCCCTGGTGACAGGAAATATCTTCCAATTGTGAGATCCTTTCTTCTGCTTGCTTCATTCTATTTTGGAGACTCTCCACTGTACTTGTAATTTGCTCTACTGTGTTCTTAATTTCTGATATTCCAGCCTTGATTTGCTTTATTGCTTCCTCAAATTCTTTGAACTCTTGCATGAGCTTCTCATTTTTGACCAGAATCTTTAAAATGAGTCTTATGGACTCTGTATCCCCCATTTTCTTGATGTCTTCCTCGGTTAACTCTGAGGTTGCCAAAGGATTTTGCTCCTTTGCAGGGGAGTTTTCAGTAATATCCGTTGTGCCTTTGTCTCTTCTTTTGCTCTTGGTCATTGTACTTCTGGTTAGCACAGTCTTCTCCTTGGAGCAGGTTTCTAAGCTGTGTCACCCACAAGTCTCCAATGCGATTTTACTTATTGCAGTTCATGCACAACTCTTTGCTTGCAGCCACTTGTGCCACAACCTCCAGTGAGTTCCAGGTCTGGGTTCTTATGTCAGATATCCACCGTGGTCTTCACAGCCCCTGCTCTTGGCTTACCACTCTCCACCTGCTGTGATACCGTGCTGAGGCTGCACCATTGTCTCTGCAACCTTTCTCCCTCTTCCGGTTGGAGTGGGTTCCAGGCTTAGAGAGACACCAGGTGTACTATCTAGTTAGGTTGTTGGTGGTGCTGATCTTGTTGGAACCTGTTGGATATTAGGTCTGGGTGCCACACGAACGTATTTTGACCGGTACAATGCCACAGTCGGTATTATTTTCCTGCAGGACCTCAGCGAGTTCTCGCGAGCTCAGCACATGGCAGTTCACTATTGTCCCCTGCAGTCCCAAAGCTATTGCCACAGTGCGCAAAATGGCGCCTGACGTGCTACCACTACAGATCTTGATCTGCTGGCCGTCACATCTGAGGGCTACTCAGACCTGCCCTGGATGGATCCCGTAGAATTCCACGGAGTTGCAGTTTACTGAGTCAGAAATGAGCTCACTCCCTCTCAGAGCACACCCGTACTTTCCCTTGTCCTTTCCTCCTTACGCAAAATGGCGCCCAGTTCAGCTCTAGGGGCTGACTGGGCTATGAAATCCACTCTTCTCACACTGCCTGAGATTTACTGCTCTGTCTCTGCTCCTGGTCAAATCAAAGGGACCAGCAGGATGGACATTTCTTTGTCTCGTTTCACCTCACAAGCTCCCAGCCAAAGTCCCTTCCCACCTGGTTGCTGGTGGAGTTCTGGCTGCTGGTGGAGTTTAGATCACCGTGCTGGAATATCATTCATTGCAACACCACACTGCTGTGTCTGGTGCTTTCCTGTGTCTGTCAGTCTCTAGGTACCCCTCTGCTCTTGTTCTTTCCTTTCCTATTTCCTGAAATATGTCCTCTCTGCTTCTTCCTGATTAAATGTTTCTCTGTCCGTTTAAACATGTCTTTACCCTATACTGCCATCTTGATTCTCAGCCACAGAATGAAATATTGTATGGCAGTTTCATTCCAGTAGTTCCAAAAGTCTTATTCCATCATTAACTCATAAATCCAGAGCCTGCAGTCTCATCTGAATTGGATACAGGAGAGGCTCAAGACACAGTACATCCTGCAGCTTTTTTTTTTTTTTTTTTTTTTACCTGTGAGCCTGTGAAAATCATTTGTTTGGCAGATACAGTGGTGGAACTGGCACAGGATAGACAGTCCCACTCTGAATGGGAGGAAAACAGAAGAAAGGGTTAGCTCGTTCCTAGTAAAATCCAGCAGTGAAGATGATATAAAGCTAAAGAATCTGTTTCGATTGCATGTTACAGATTGTGAGTGTTTGGGACTGGGGGTTGGACCTCCACGGTTCTGGGGGAACCCTCCCTCAGCGTTGGAGTAGGCTTAGCTCAGGACACTGCTACTGCTACCTGTTTCTGGACTGTGAAATCCAGCTGCAGGGAGCCATGTCCCTTTGGTTCTTGCATTTGAATGTCTGCAGAATTACACCATAGGAATGGACACTGCCAAGGTTGATGGCTTGTGTACTGCAGTGGGTGAGCAGCACTTGGGCACATGTGCTAGAATTGGTGGTCTTATGCAGCAAATACTAATGTCTGGATCGTCAGGTCCCTTCCATTGCTAGTTTACTGCCAAGTGGCTGCAATGGCCAGACCTGAGCCAATCCAAATTCAAGAGCTTCTTCCAAATTCCTCATGCAAGTGCAGCTCCCCAGGGTTTGGGCCATCTTCCACTGCTTTCCCAGGCCATAAGCAGGGATCTGAAAAAGAAGTGGAGCCATCCAGGGCACGAACCAGCGCCCGTATGGGATCCCGGCAAGTAGAGGTGAGGATTTAGGCACTGAGCCATAGCACCGGGCCTGATAGCTTCCGTCTTTGAATAATTTCTTGATATCCCGTCAGAATGGGTTGTACTCGCACCTGTGACTACTGAATCAGCATGCATACTTTGGGAGCTAGCAGTGATGGCTGGGTTACATCCACCCTTGTGGAAGAGTGGATGATGTTTCAGTCTGTTTCACCTCTGCCCTCCTTTCGTTATTGTGAGCCATCTGAGGAATGAACCAATAGGTGAGAAGTCTATCCGTCTGGGTCTCTCTGCCTCTCAAACATGTGGATATGTAAATAGCTTTATTAATACTGGAAAGGTGGATCACATTTACAGGGAGAAGGAGAGATAGAAAGGTCTTTCATCCACTGGTTTGCTCTCCAAATGGTTGCAACGGCTGGATTGCTGGAGCTGAGCTGATCTGCAGCCAGGAGCCTCCTCCAGATGTCTCGCAGGTGCAGGATCCCAAGGCTTGGAGCCATCCTCCAGTGCTTTCCTAGGCAATTAGCAGGGAGCTGGATGGAAGTAGAGCAGCTGGGACACAAATTGGTGCGCATTTTAGGCATTGAGCCATTGTGGTAGGCCTGCAAGCAAATTATAAAGTAGCCACATATTTCTTTCAGTATTTTGCTGAGAAATATCTTCTTCACCAGGTATACCAGGTCACCATTTTTGGATTCTGTCTTGCATCAAATCCTAGAGTACAGACACAGTTCTACCAAATACCATACAAGTATGTAACAAGGGTGACTCCGACTCCTTCCAACTGCGTGTTGTTCATTTCTTTCTTAGGCCTTATTATATTAGTTTTTACCATTTATGCTTCTGTAGAAACTAAATACGATCAGTTTTCTTGCACTTCATGTATTATTTTGAGCATCAGCCCAATTGTCCTCTACATTTCCATTTGTTTTTTTTTTCCCCCAGATTTATTTATTTTATTACAAAGTCAGATATGCAGAGAAGAGGAGAGACAGAGAGGAAGGTCTTCCATACGATGATTCATTCCCCAAGTGAGCACAACGGCCAGTGCTGTGCCGATCCAAAGCCAGGATCCAGGAACTTCTTCCGGGTCTGCCACACGGGTGTAGGGTCCCAAGACTTTGGGCTGTCCTCGACTGCTTTCCCAGGCCACAAGCAGGGAGCTGGATGGGAAGTGGAGCTGCCAGGATTAGAACTGGCGCCAATATGGGATCCCGGCACTTTCAAGGCGAGGACTTTAGCCACTAGGCCACGCCGCAGGGCCCTACATTTCCATTTGTGTCAGTTTTGTCCTAGCTTGTCATCCAGATTCTCACAGCCACTACCCATTAACTAGTTCCAAAGCTAGTCCCCTGGTTTCAAGGATTTCTTTGAGCAGCATGCCAGTTTGTATTCCCTATCTATTCCTCTCTCCTTCCTCTTCCTGTCCCTGCAAAATGAAAGGAAACAAGCATGTGTAGGATTAACTTTGGATCCCTGTATAGCCTCCAGTTTTCAACAAACCCTTCAACGGTTATCTGTCAGTCTTTACCAAAATGGTCTGATTTTTAGTCCTCACAGACATCTGTTGTTACATGTCGCTGTCCCGCAGCGATGGGCTTGGTGCACAGAACCGATAATAACACGGGTGGACTCTGACTGATGGTCAAAGCCCAAGTTTATTAGGGGCATTAGACTTTATACACTGAGAGTCTGTATGGGGTAGGGGAGGAAGTATTGAGCTCATCAACAAAACCCATCTACTGTTGATTGCAATTCCTTTTGTTTTGTATATTACACCAGGTGTTCTCATTTACATGCTGTAGCCATTTGGTTGTTCTCATGCAAATACTGTCCAATGAACTGCAATCCTGTGCTTGCTGACCTTCCAGGGTCACAATGTCCTCCTATAGTTATATAGCCAAATCTTGCCTGTGGTCCTTTTCTACCCTTTCTCTACAAAACTCTGAGTGTCCTAGAAAGTCTGATATTCAGTCTTTTCCACAGTTTCACACTGTTATTGCTTTGTACATGCTGATTGTTTTATAATTGTGACTTGAGTTTCCAGTATTTTCTAAAGCAATAATTTGCATTTAAAGCATGACTATTGACCCACAAGTATTAATCGTGGAAAATATTGTCACTGGGAAGAAAACATGAAGTGTCAGATGAGTTTCATTTTTCTTACCTCACTTGCCATTCTAACAGTGAGGTAGAAGGATTGGCCCAACTGTAGTTGCTGGACATGTTACAAAGGCAGTAGCCAAATTCTTATAAAAATTCATCTGAGACAGCTTGATTCATCTGACCTTCCTTCTAGAATCTTCTTTTTTAACCAGTTCACTTGTACATACTTAACATCAAGGTATCCAGATGTATAACTTATTGTCCCATTATCTGTGTAAATCTGCCTTGTAAATAAGTAAATCTTTATATATATATATATATATATATATATATATATATATATATATATATTGTGTGTGTGTGTGCATAATTGATTAGGGCACAAAGGGTCAAGGGCTAGAGGAAAGTGGGTAAGACCATTGTTTTCACATTAATACCTTTTTTTTCTGTATCTGGAGTAAGTGAAGAGATAAAAGGAAAAGCCCCACCCAGCCTCCTGCCCTTCCCAAGTCCCCAATGTGGGGTATGCCCCGACATGGGTCATGCTCCAAGGGTCCTGCTCATGCAGTTTTGATGGTTCAACAGTTCTGAATTGCTACCAATCTTGCTGGTTCAAGCACGATGAAATCTCTTCAGAGATTTAAATAAACTATGTTTGATGATTTATTACTCAGTCTTTTTATTATTATTATTATTATTATTTTATGATACAGTTCCATAGGCCCTGGGATTTCCCTTATCCCCTTCCAATTCCGTCCCCTCCCACTGAGTTCCCATATATCAGCTAGAGTATCAGTCACTGCAACACCACATCATCGTGTCTGCTGCTTTCCTGTGTCTATTAGTCTCCAGGTACCCCTGTGCCGTCCTCTCCTGTTTCCTGGAATGTGCCCTCTGTTCTTCACGCTGACTAATGTTTTTCCGTCCATTTAAATGTGTGCTTTACCTATTCTGCCATCTTGATTCTCAGTCTTTTCAAATTGTAGAACCTCCTTTTGTGACTAGTATATCATTGACCTTTCTGATTTTATTTATTTTTTTATTTGAAAGGCAGATTTAGAGAGAGGAAAAGATGGAGATCTGTTTGCTGGTTCATTTTCCAGATGGCCACAACAGCCAGAGCAGGGCCAGTCTGAAGCCAGGAGTCAGAATTCTTCCTGGTCTTACATATATGGAAGGGCCCAAAGCCTTGGCCATCTCCCACTGTTTCCCAAGTACATCAGCAGGGAGTTGGATGGGAAGTAGAGCAGTCAGTGTTCGAACCAGTACACATATAGGATGCCAGCAGTGGGTGGAGGTTTAACCTACAAAACCATCGTGCTAGCCCCTTTCTGATTTGTTTTATTTCTAATATTTAAAAGTCTTTAAAATATTTTTTTTAAATGTATTTTTATTAGTACAACAAACTTACAGAGAGAAGGAAAGACAAAAACAGAGAGAAATTTCTCCCATCCACTGATTTACTTCCCAAATAGCTGTAGTGACTAGAGCTGAGCTGATCAGGAGCCAGAAGTTTCTTCTGGGTCTCCCATGTGTATGTAGAATCCTGAGGACCTGGGCCATCCTTTGCTTCTTTTCCAGACCACAACAGGGAGCTAGATGGGAAGTAGAGCAGCTTTAAACAGTTTCTCATTATGTGAGATAAAGCATAAACCTGCACAGTTTCTTAAAGTTTAGGTCAATTAACTGAGTGTTTGGACTAATTGTGTAAAACCAGATTGATGTGACTATAGCTAGAATAATATAAATTTAAACTGTACTAAAATATTGGTTTTAAATTTAAAATACTGGCTTTAAAATTTGTAGATTGTTGGGCCCGGCATGATGGTGCAGTGGTTAAGGTCCTCGCCTTGCTCGCCCGGGATCCCATATGGGCACCGGTTCTAATCCTGGCAGTCCAGCTTCCCATCCAGCTCCCTGCCTGTGGCCCGGGAAAGCAGTTGAGTATGGCGCAAAGCTTTGGGACCCTGCACCTGAGCAGGAGACCCAGAAGAGGCTCCTGGCTTCGGATTGGCTCAGCTCCAGCCGTGCGGTTGAAGATCTTTCACTCTGTCTCTCCTCTCTGTATATCCGCCTTTCCAATAAAAATAAAATAAATCTTTAAAAAAAATTTTGTAGATTGTTGGCAAGGTTATTTATCAGAGCATAGTATGAAGTAGTAAGGGCTTAAAAACAGTTTCACAATGTTTAGGGTATTAATACATTATGATTGAATCGTACAATAAAGAATTCTATATAAAAGAAGAAAAAAGTGAGAGCCTTATAACATTGGCTTAGAATTCTCTTCTGGGAAATGAATATGTGCTACATTTGTGTAAACAGAAATTGAAAAGAATACAGGGCATGGGGCCAGGCGGCTAAAGTTCTCGCCTTGAAAATGCCAGGATCCGGGCCCGGCGCGGTGGCGCAAGTGGTTAAGTCCTCGCCTTGCATGCCCGGGATCCCATATGGGCGCCGGTTCTAGTCCCGGCAGCCCCGCTTCCCATCCAGCTCCCTGCTTGTGGCCCGGGAAAGCAGTTGAGGACAGCCCAAAGCTTTGGGAACCTGCACCCGCGTGGGAGACCCGGAAGAGGCTCCTGGCTTTGGATCGGCATAGTATTGGCCCGTTGCGCTCACTTGGGGAGTGAATCATCGGATGGAAGATCTTCCTCTCTGTCTCTCCTCTCTGTATATCTGCCTTTCCAATGAAAAAATAATAAAAAGTAAAAATCTTATTAAAAAAAAAATGCCAGGATTCCATATGGGCACCGGTTCTAATCCTGGCAGCTCCACTTCCCATCCAGCTCCCTGCTTGTGGCCTGGGAAAGCAGTCAAGGATGGCCCAAAGTCTTGGGACCCTGCACCCGTGTGGGAGACCCGGAAGAAGTTCCTGGATCCTGGCTTTGGATCGGCATAGCGTTGGCTGTTGTGCTCACTTGGGGAGTGAATCATCGTATGGAAGATCTTCCTTTCTGTGTCTCCTCTTCTCTGCATATCTGACTTAGTAATGAAAATAAATCTGGGGGAAAAAAAAAAAGGAATACCCACTAAAGTGATAATGTTGGTTTACTCTAGGAGAGAAAACAAACAAGATGCTGAGGTATCTGAGAGAGACTTACTCCTGCACTTTATATGAAAGAAAAACAAAAATCTGTCTCATGGTTCCTTTACCAAATGCCGCACTTCTTGCCAAAAAGCCAGGAACTGGCAACAGTCTGGGCCTGTGGTGGATGGGGGTCCCAAGCCTTTGAGCTGTTACCAGCTGCCAGCCAGGATACAGATCAGCAGGAAGCTGGGATCAGAAGTGGAGCTGGGACTCAAACCAAAGGAACCTGACTGAATGTTGAGAGAAAAAAATTTGATTTTACAAATAAGTCGAAAGTAGCAGGACCTATAAAATATCAATTTTTTGTCATTCAGAGATGGAATGAAGATCATTTGAAAATTATTAATATTTGCTATCTTTGGTAGGTGGAAGTTTAGCCGATGCTATAAGTGAAAACTACAGAATCATGAGTTACTTTACTGAAGTCGATTTGAAGGACCTGCTTTTGCAAGTTGGCCGGGGCCTCAGATACATTCATTCAATGTCTTTGGTTCACATGGATATAAAGCCTAGTAAGTATTACAGATACTCTGATTATATCATTTGGGGTTATAGAGAATAACTTCATTATAAACACTAAAAAATTTAGTTTGTTTAGAAACTCTGACCTATTTGTTGGATTTTATTTTCCTTTACTTTTTGTTCCTTCCAAAATTTCAGATAACCAAACTAATTTTTATTAAAAGCTACAAAAATTTGCTGCGTCTTATAGGATGATATAATCTCAAATGAGATTCTGGTGGGGAATCTGACAAGCCTAGGCAAGACTATGTTAAAAATGTTCCCTAGTGGACATTTGATTTGTGAAAATTAGTATCTGTTTCAAGACTATGAATTGCACCTGACTATCCATCTATCCATTTTTTTTTTTTTTAGTTTTCTCATCCCCTACATTTTTTCTTCAATTTTTTTTCTTGCATTTTTAATGTTGTTCACATAGTTGAGTATTTATTTTGAAAGAGTTACAGGGATTGTCCATCTGTGGTTCACTTACCCAGAACCTTGTAGCATTAGATTAAAATTGGGCAATTTAGTCGTTATCAAAAGTACTGCTACCATCTTTTGTGCTGTTTCTTAGTTAATAAAATTGCAGAAGATCGGTATGCAAATGGCAAGGTTGTAATACAGAGGTTTCCAGGTGTTGAAGAGTGCCAGGAAACAGAATATGTTCCCAGACAACGCCTCCATCCCTGTTCCTTGCCTTGGGTTTCCTACTCATTGGGTTTGGGGCAGAATGTGAGATCTGCATTTTTTTTAAACCTTTCTGGATGATTCTGATAGACATGACTTAAACTCTTTTGTCAGGTAATATTTTCATATCTCGAACTTCAATTCCAAATGCTGCCTCTGAAGAAGGAGATGAAGATGAATGGTCACCGAACGGAGTTATGTTTAAAATAGGTATGAAAAAAACATAACCACATTACCAAGTTAAGATAGAGAGGATATTTCATTTTCAACTCTGGACTGTTTTTATCACTTACAGGTGATCTTGGCCATGTGACAAGGATTTCTAGTCCACAGGTTGAAGAAGGGGATAGTCGTTTTCTTGCAAATGAAGTTTTACAGGAGGTAAAACTTAGTACTATTTGCTTTGTGTATGTATCAGTTGATGGAGAAATATAGATCCAGGTAGATTGAAATTTTATTTGTTTAAAGATTTACTTTTATTGGAAAGTCAGATATACAGAGAGGAAGATCTTCTGTCTGCTGGGCCAGAGTTGAGCCGATCCAAAGCCAGGAGCTTTTCTTCCGGGTCTCTCATGCAGGTGCAGTGTCCCAAAGCTTTGGGCCGTCCCTGACTGCTTTCCCAGGCCACAAGCAGGGAGCTGGATGAGAAGCGGGGCTGCTTGGACTAGAACCAGCACGCCAGTGGGATCCCCGGTTTATTCAAGGCGAGAACTTTAGCTGCTACACTGTCGGGCCGGGCCCAGTACTAATGTTTTTATGAAGAAGGCAACAAGTGTGCCTCATATATCAATCCCTCGCAGTGGAGTAAGGCCTCAGAATGGATTCTGATTCAAACAATTAGGATCAGTCTGTGAGCATGCCTGTTCCTTATTGAAACCAGAACATTGGGCCAGATTTGTGGCATAGTAAGTAAAGCTTTTATCTGCAACATCAACACTCCATACGGACATAGCTTTGTGTCCCAGCTGCTCCACTTTCCATCCAGTTCCCTGCTAATGCCTTGAGAAAAAGCAGTGAAAGATGAACCGAGTGGTTGGGCCTCTGCCATCCATGTGGGAGACCCAAATGAACCTCTGGCCCTGGGGGCTTTGGCTTTGGCTTTGGCTTTGGCCTGGCCCAGATCTGGATGGTACATCTGTCTGTGAACTAGTAGATGGATCTCTGTCTCAGTGTCTCCATCTCTGTACCTCTGACCTTCAAATAAGAAAATAAATGTTGGGCGTGGTGCCGTGGCCTAGCAGCTAAAGTCCTTACCTCGGACGTGCCGGGATCCCATAGGCGCCAGTTCTAATTCCAGCAGCCCCACTTCCTATCCAGCTCCCTGCTTGTGGTCTGGGAAAGCAATTAAGGATGGCCCAAAGTCTTGAGACCCTGCACCTGTGTGGGAGACCTAGAAGAACTCATGGCTTCTGGCTCCTGGCTTCGGATCAGCACAGCACCAGCCATTGCGGTCATTTGGAGAATGAATCAATCAATGGACGGAAGATATTTCTCTCTGACTCTCTTCCGATCTATGTATCTGTATATATCTGACTTTGCAATAAAAATAAATCTGTAAGAATTAATGGGGCCCGGCGCGGTGGCGCAAGTGGTTAAAGGTCCTCGCCTTGCACGCCCGGGATCCCATATGGGCGCCGGTTCTAATCCCGGCAGCCCCGCTTCCCTTCCAGCTCCCTGCCTGTGGCCTGGGAAAGCAGTCGAGGACAGCCCAAAGCTTTGGGAACCTGCACCCGCGTGGGAGACCAGGAAGAGTCTCCTGGCTTCGGATCGGCATAGTATCGGCCCGTTGTGCTCACTTGGGGAGTGAATCATCGGACGGAAGATCTTCCTCTTTGTCTCTCCTCTCTGTATATCCGCCTTTCCAATGAAAAAAAATAATAAAAATAAATCTTTAAAAAAAAAAAAAGAATTAATGAATAAATAGATAAATGTTTAGGGAAAAACCAAGAAAAGGAACCAAGCCATCCCTGACCTGAGCTTTGGATCCCAAGAAACACATTAGCGGGCCTGCATTAGCCGGAAGCTGGGGTCAGGAAATGGAGTCAGGGATGTATGTATGTGTGTGCTTTAGGGGTGGGGGAGGTTGTAGATTTATTTCCCTGAACGGCAGGGTTGCAGAGAGTTTTCCATCTGCTGGTTCACTTCCCAGATGGCCACAGAGCTGTGAGTCTAGATCTGTATCCACATGAGTGAAGATCCACATTAGAAGGGAGCTGGCTAGGACATGGAGCAGTGAGACTCCAGCTGTCCCTCTAGTGTGGGATGCCAACATGCAAGCACTTGTTTTAACTTGCTGTACCATAGTGTCAGCCGCTGCAAGTGGTTCGGTAGAAAGATAGGAGTTTGTCCTATGTGTTGCATTGGGTTTGTCATAAAAGAACAGGGCTAGGCATTGTGTTGCAGTGGTTTAAGCTGCTATTTCATTGTGCCAACTGGAGTGCTAGCTACTCTGCCTCTTAGAGATGCATTCTACTGGCTCAAGTTCTTGGGCCACTGACATCCGTGTAGGAGACCTGGGTTGAATTCAGGCTTCTGTCTTCAACCTGTCCCAATCCTGGCTGTTGGGGAGTGAAGTAGCAAATTAAAGATTTTTTTTTCTGGCTTTCTCTTTGCCTTTGAAGTAAATTTTTTAAAAGATTTATTTATTTTTATTGGAAAGTCAGATATACAGAGAGGAGAGAGACAAAGATCTTCTATCCGATGATTAACCCCTAAGTGACTGCAACGGCCGGTGCTGAGCCGGTCTGAGGCGAGGAGCCAGGAGTTTCTTCTAGGTCTCCCACGCAGGTGCAGGGTCCCAAGGCTTTGGGCCATCCTCGACTGCTCTCCCAGGCCACAAGCAGGTAGCTGGATGGGAAGTGGAGCTGCCAGGATTAAAACGGGTCCATATGGGATCCCAGTGTGTTCAATGTGAGCACTTTAGCCACTAGGCCACTATGCCAGGCCCCTGAATTAAATTTGGAAAGAAAGAAATTAAAGATTTATTTATTTTTATTAGAAAGGCAGAGAGGAGAGGAGAGACAGAAAGAAAGATCGTCCATCCACTGGTTCACTCTGCAAATTGCTGCGGTGGCCAGAGTTGAGCTGATTGGGAGCTTCATCTGGATTTTCCACGTGGGTGCAGTGTGTGCAGGACTTGGGCCATCCTCCACTGCCTTCTCACGTCACAAGTCGAGAGTTGAATTGGGAGTAGAGCAGCTGAGACATGTTTTTAACTGCCTAATTTATTTCCCTCTCTAGGGTGTATATTACTTTATTAAACTTAGCAATAAGTATTTTGCAGAGGTTCTTAGATCTGGAATGTATTTTTAGTCTAGTCCTGATATTGTTCTAAGTCATTGAGATATAATCTTATTTTGACAACTTTTGCATTCCCTTACATATGTGTTTAACTTTACAGAACTACACCCATCTACCAAAGGCAGATATTTTCGCCCTTGCTCTCACGGTGGTATGTGCTGCTGGTGCTGAACCTCTTCCAAGAAATGGAGACCAATGGCATGAAATCAGACAGGGTAGATTGCCTCGGATACCACAAGTGCTTTCACAAGAATTTATGGAGTTGCTGAAAGTGAGCATTGTATATGTGAAGCCATCTGTGAACACAGTCCCATATTTTACTGAATTGCATGTCTTTACCTGAATTTTACCTTCCTTTTTAAGGTTATGATTCACCCAGATCCTGAGCGGCGGCCTTCAGCAAAGGCACTGGTAAAGCATTCTGTGCTGCTGTCTACTTCTAGAAAGAGTGCGGAACAGTTGAGAATAGAATTGAATGCGGAAAAGTTCAAAAATTCACTCTTGCAGAAGTAAGTGAGGGTTTCGGTGTTGTTTGTTACCTTCTTGCTCTCATTACTTCTAAGATTTTAATGAGCAATGACTTAAGGCTCTCAGTAAAAGACATGGAAAGTGGAGCAACGAGGACACGAACCAGTGCCCTTATGTGATCACGGCAGTTGCAAGGCAAGGACTTAGCCAGTAATAGTCTATCGCCCCAGACTCTGCCATTTTGATTTTAACCTGATAAAACTGATTTGAAAATATTTTACATTAAATGTTAGATTTAGTTAAAATATAGAGATTTTATTCTAAATGTTAATCACTGTTTTGATGGTTTGCTATGTCATAGTTCATACAAGTCAGAACTTCTTTTAAATTTTTAAAGGTGGGATTAGGGGCCCAGTGTGGTTGATGATTTGGTAAATACTTGTCTTCATGTGCCGGCATCCCCTATGGGTATTGGTTGGTTCCCAGCTGTTCCACTATCAATCCATCCCCCTGCCTGTGGCCTGGGAAAGAGTAGAGGATAGGCCAAAGCTTTGGGACCCTGCACCCGTGTGTGTGACCCAGAAGAGGCTCCAGGCTCCTGGATGTGGATTGGCTCAGCTCTGGCTATTGCAAACACTTAGGAAGTAAACCGGTGAACAGAAGATCTTTTCCTCCTCCATAAACTGAATAAATTTTTTTAAAAGAAAAATGAAAGGTAGAGTTAGTGATCCATCCACTGAATTACTCCCCAAATGTCTGCATTGGCTGCAGCTGATCTGATCTGATCTGAAGCCAGGAGCTTCTTCCTGATCTTCTATATCACTGCAGAGTTCCAAGGGCATTTGGCCATCTTAGGCTCCTTTCCCAGGTCACGAACAGGGAGCTGGAATCAAAGTGGAGCAACCAGGGCTAGAAACAGTGCCCATATGGGAAATGGATGATTAGGCACAGAAATAAAGTTCTAATTTCTAATTCTATAAAAGTTAATTTGTAATATAAATTAGAGTTTAATTTTAAATTATGTTTTAGGCCAAAAGTTATTAGTATCTTTATTGTGCCTGTTTATTCACAGATACATAATTTTTAAAAATATTTATTTCTTATTTTCAAATTTATTTATTTTTATTATAAAGTCAGATATACAGAAAGGAGGAGAGACAGAGAGGAAGATATTCCATCCAATGGTTCACTCCCCAAGTGACCGCAATAGCCAGTGTTGCGCCGAACAGGAGCCAGGAACCTCCTCCAGGTCTCCCACACGGGTGCAGGGTCCCAAGGCTTTGGGCCATCCTCGACTGCTTTCCCAGGCCACAAGCAGGGAGCTGGATGGGAAGTGGAGCTGCTGGGATTAGAACCAGTGCCCATATTGGATCTGGCGTGTTCAAGGTCAGGATTTTATCTGCTAGGCCACTGCGCCGGGCCCAAAAATATTTAAATATTTGTTAAGATTTACTTATTTGAAAAAGAGGAGGGAGAGAGAGAATCTTCCATCTGCAGATTGACTCCAGATGACTATGAAGGCTAGCATGTGCCATACTGAAGTCAGGAGTTTATTCTGGGTCTACCGCCTGGGTGGCAGCGACTGAAACACTTGGTCTGTCCTCTACTGCTTTCCCAGGCCATTAGCAAGGAGCTGGATGGGAAGTGGAGCAGCTAGGACATGACCTGTGCCCATATGGGATGCTGGTGTCAGAGGCGCTAGCTCCAATATGTGATATTTTACTTCAAGGACAAAATAAAATTATTAATTAAGGCTGAGTAGAAGCTCAAGTTTCATGTACTTTTTGTTTTTTCAGTTGCATCTTAGGCAAATGAATGCATGTGACTATTTCCCAGTTGGTAATGAAGTTCATGTTTGACTTCTTAGACTCCCTCCCAGGATTAACACAGCAGGTGAAAAGTCTTGTGTCTTACTTTTATGTTCTTAGAGAACTGAAGAAAGCCCAGATGGCAAAAGCTGCAGCTGAGGAAAGAGCGCTCTTCACTGACCGGATGGCCACTCGGTCCACCACCCAGAGTAATAGAGCATCTCGGCTTATTGGAAAGAAAATGAACCGCTCTGTCAGCCTCACCATATACTGAGCTACTCACTTCCCTTACCAGCCCACCCAAAACTGTGACGAGAAAACGCTAGGTTGAAATCACTGCTAGAATCCACTTAAGAATTACCTTCTCAATTGGTGTCAGTAGTTGTCTTACTGAAATACCTTTTAGGACTTGTAAATTACAGTTGAAGGCTGATTTTTGGACATGGCTCTATCAGGCTTTCGACTAGTGTTACTCACTGGTGTGTCTTTTGTAGGATGGCAGTCACTGTTGGGTATTAGTTCATCCTTCCCAGGTTAACCACTGTGATGATATGCTGCTTGCATTGCTGTGGCATTGTAAACAAAGGTGGCTTGCCCTGTAGTGACTGCCAAAAGGACTCCAGGGCTTTAGTTACATACAGCTTCCCTTTGAAAGGGAGAATGCTAAGAAACTCAGACTTCTGTGTACCTGTGTGTCAATTTTCTGTTACTTTTTTATTCTTATTTTTTTTTAATTGTGAATTATCCTTATATCCAACTGGGAGCACTTTGTAGGCATTGCATGAACCATGGAATAATTCTGTGGAAGTATTGCCTTGTGAATTTGCTGCTATTTTAGTTTTGTCATTGCTGTAAAATTGTAGCATTAAACAATCATCGTTGTTAATAGGCTTTCTTTTGAAACAATTATGTGAAATATGTAGTTGCTCTTGATGAAAAGCAGCTGTTTGTGGGTTTTTTTCTCTTTGAACTTTGAAGCTAGTGCATTGAAAAAAATGCACCTTCCTCCCTCTCCCCACTCCCCCCACTCCTGGAATTCTGTATTAATGTAGTGTAATTATTACTGTTGTGTAATATTTTTTTTCTATAGTAATTTCCTTCCCTTTTTAAAAATGTCTCCTTTCTCCTCCCAAGTTTTGTACTTGATTGTATTAGTCTGTTTTTAAATGTCTTGTCCTTCAATATTTGTGTACATAAAGTGATCTGCATAATACTGTATATAGCTGTTTGAAATGCCAGAATGACTTATGACTAGTCCAAGTTTTTCACGATATATTTTATCTGTAGTTAGCCATTTGACTAATAATATTGGCTAACAGATGTCAGGGGAAAGTTTTGTCTGTTTTCTCAAATTTTGGTTTAAAACATGTTTGCACTTGTCTGTCTGACTTGTGTTTTACAAGCATTGATTGGCATATTAAAAGTCACTCTGAGCTTACCTTAAGTGTCTAAATCCTTGTGGTGCCTGTTTTTTTACTGCTTTGTCTCATTGCCACTTTACAATGTAGAGAATAATGTACATCAGATACTAAAAGCAGAGGGCACATTTTGATAAAATGTAAAACTTACTATTTAATGGTGGGTTTGGCCCTTACCAGTTCAATGTCCCCATCAACTTTTGGATTTTTGTCTTACATTGTATATATCACATCATATATTATACATCTGACTTGCTAGGAATGTAGTAGAATGTAATTCGAGGTAGCCTCATGTTAAGTAAGAAGATGCAAACTCTAATTTGGACTATCACAGAACTTTGTGGGGAGGGTTTGAATTCACTGAGGTAGGCCTGGTTGAGTGCAGATTGGAGTGAAAAACAGTGCTGGTATTGGTTAAACCATAGAGTAAGCAGGGAGGGTCACTGAGCAGGTCAGAATGGACATTCCGGGATCATGATGCTTCAGTCATGGCAGCAATAACTAATCCTACTGAGGGCCTGTTTGCATCATTTCTAACCAGCTTGAGTTTTTATCCTGTGGCATCTTAGAAAAGTAGAACTTACATCAGAAGAATTGGTGCAGACAGGTCAGTTAGATACAGAAGCAGGTGGTTATGGGTGATAGAAAATTTTACCAAGCTTTGTGCACTGGAGCAAGTAATTCAACACTAGGTAATGAAGACCAAGCTATAGAAAGTATACTAATCAGTGTTGATATGATAACTAAGTTACTAAGGGCTAATTTTTTTCTAGTGCACTAGCTTCAAAGAAAAAAATTGAGATTTTTTTTCATCAAGATTGGCAGTGGATTTTTCACATACTGTTTAACAACAATCGTTTGGCATTCAAAAATGGAATTCTTGGGTGATGTGAAAGCTGATGGGTTGGGTTTGTATTCAATATAAGATACTGTACCATGCCTTCTTATTTGATAACTGGTAGTAGGACATTGGGCTATTAGTTTTTGCCTACGAGGGACTCAGGATAAAAAGGAGAGACCTTTGTAAAAATACAGTGAGAAAATGATCCTTGTTGTGTTGGAGGGATTGTGCAAGAGAGAATGTTCAAAACACCACACATACCTAGGGGAAGATGGTAGTGGTAGATTAGAATTTTGTCCAGACTGGTTTCAGAGCCATTGTATACAGCTAAGAGCAAGGAGAGCCTGACTTGGAACTTTGGATAGAAAGGGTGGGAATTCATGAGGTAGAATAACTACTTGGGCAGTTTATGTGTGCAGCAATGAAAATCGGCCAAAGAGGGTTTTGGGAAACTATTGGTGCTAATAAGATGACAATGAAGAATTTCTCAGAAATTTAGTTAAAAATGTAAAGGCATGTTTCTGTTTGATATAGGTATTATCACTGACAAAGCTTTCTTGATTTTTGGAAGGTTAACCTTAGTAAAAATTAATACTGACTGGTAGAGTGGGGAGGAATCCTATACTGAAGTTGACTACATGGTGAATCTTGCCTGTGCTCTTTTCTAAGGAAGGACCAAAGAGCAGTACCCCTTTAATGAAAGAATTTTGTTTCCTAAAGCTTTTACTTCAAAGAGTTACAGAGAGGTTTTCTATCTGTTGGTTCATTCCCCAAATGCCTGCATCTTTCAGATATGGGGCAGTCGGAAGCCAGGAGCCAGGAACTTCCTCTGGGTCTCCCATGTGGGTACAGGGTCCCATTGTGGGATGCCAGCTCCACAGGCTGAGGATTAGCATGCTAGGTGACCATGCCAACCTCATGAACTAATTCTTGTTACTATTTTTAAAATGCATATTTACTTGTAAAGAGGTGGAGAGAAAGGGAGTTCTATCTACAGGTTCGCTACCCAAATGGCCACAATGGCTGAGGTTTGTCTAGACATAAGTCAGAAGCTTCTTCCAGGTCTCCTACACAGGTGCAGGGGCCCAAGCATTTAAGCCACCCTCCACTACTTTTTCTAGGCCAATTAGCAGCAGGCTGGATCATAAGTGGGACAGTCAGAATACTAACTGGTTCCCATGTGAGATGTAGGCAGCAGCTTTATCAGCTCCACCACAACCCTGGCCCCTGCTAATGTCTTGAAGAGCCACTTTGATTTTAACTCTACTTTGATCCAGAGGTCTAGAAGTAATGGCAGGTCAAAACTTACAACTTGGTGTGGGTAACGTTGCCCTTGCTGGGTTGCCCCTAGAGCAGTTTTCCTCCTTGGTTCTCCACATCTTTCTGACTTGAGCCACAAGCTCAAGTAGTTTATTGTGTCCTTAAGGTATCTCTAATTGCGCAATTTTCAAAGGTCAATTAAAGCCTTTGAAAATGCACAAGAAAGATCAAGAAAATGTTTTGGAAATGTTTTAGATATTCTAAAAACCTTAAGTGAAGCTGGGAGCTAGGAATTCAGAGGAAGCTGCCTCTGCCCGTATTTTTGAATGTAGTTGTGTAACTGAAAAGCATCACCGAAAGTGACTTGGCAATGCAGAGCGTGTGGATCTAGAAGTTTCTCCTGTAAACCAGGTTGTGGTATTAGCAATTTCTCAGAAGCTCAGTAGATTTTTACTTGAAACAAGGAAGAATAAGACATCACTAAAACTGTCCCTCTCCCAACACTTAACTTTCAAACATTTTGAGAAGCATTCATCTAAACATGGACCTTTTTTTTTTTCCCCCTTTATGGCAGATGACCTTAATTTTCAATGCAGCTCAATGGTCTCTGGATAAAGAAAAATATCTTTGTGTGCTCTAGGAAGAACGCCCAGGAGAAGATGGTGTGTTGTGTCCAAACATCATTAAACTGAGTCTAAGAAACCACAGCCAGTGCAGCCCAGAAAGAAGACTACCTCAAAGGAACATTTCTATCAGAGCTCATATTGTTTACCACTGTATGCTTAATAAAACATCGTGAAGAGCATCTCTGTGTTTTGAGTTCAGTCTGTTTTGTGGGTAGGTGATTCATGTGCTGCAGGGGGGATGCAAGTTCACTGTGACATCATTTGATGTCGTGTGATTATTCAGGAGAAAGTCAGCTTTTCAAGGTGAGACAGGGGAGTGGAATATCATGGAACTCATAAAGTAGCAGAGCCAGAATTCCAAGTCTGGTCTCACAGTAAAGGAGTGTGTTTTCAAAGTTGAGCACAAACTGCTAATGAAGGGCCGCATGCACACTGCAGAGGGAGGTAAGAAGGGCCATCTGAAAATTCAGAATATTGGTAGGAATCTAGGGTCAGGGAGCCCGAGAAGGAAGTCGAAGGAGCAACTGCTTATTACTCATTCCAGAAAGATTCCATGACCTGAAGTTCCACGAGGGTACCCAGAGCTCCTTAGGCATTTTTGGGTGAGCTGTGTCAGTAGCAGAAGAAGCAAAAGCCAGCCTATACATACAGAAATGCATACAGAGATCCTCTGCTGTCTGTCTCCCCAGATTTCCACAACAGCCTGAGAAAAGGAAAAACTGGACCCTGTAACGCTACTCAAGGGCTCCCACGGGGGTGGCAGGGCCCCAAATACTGAGCTATCACCCATACCTCCCAGGATGTACAGGAAGATGGAACTGGGAGAAGCAAGAACTCCAATATGGGACGTTTTGTTTTGATTTTATTGGAAAGACAAATTTATAGAGAGAAGGAGAGACAAAGATCTTCCATTCACTGGTTCATTCCCCAAATGGCTGCAATGGCGAGAGCTGAGCCAATCCAAAGCCAGGAGCCTGGGTCTCCCATGTGGGTACACGGTTCCATGGCTTTGGGCCATCCTCCACCGCTTTCCCAGGCCATAAGCAGGGAGCTGGATGGGAAGTGGAGCAGCTGGGACATGAACCAGTGCCTATAAGGGATCCTGGCACATGCAAGGGGAGGATCAGCTGACCTAGCCATCACGCTGGGACAGTTTTCTTAACTGCTATTCCAAATGCCCACCCAGGAGTCATCTTCAAGAAACCTAAGGCATTTGACTGAACAACTAGCCAAATTCATCACAAGTCTTCTGAGGCTGGAGCAGAAGAGGAAGGTGAGGGTGAAGGGAGCTTGAAGTGTTGCAATGTAGCAACTCCAGTGTGACAGCCTCTGAGCACCCATGAGCTTGAGGGCCACCAGATCCAGTGGGCCACAGGTATACACGTGTGGAGAGAATCTGTCACTCCATCACCCTCTGCCTTTTGAGTGAGATGGTATACAAAGGGACGTCAAGAAACGGGTAGATAATGGAACTGAGAAGAAGTTTGGGGCGTGCATTCAGCACAGTGGCAAGAAGCTGCTTCGGATGCCTCATCGCCTTGAACAGTGCCTGGGACTGAGTCTCCACTAACGCTCATCTTGGCAGGCAGCATCACTCAGGTGTTTGCATCCCTGCCATCCACATGGGGGAGCTGGAAGGAATCCTGGGCTCCTGGCTGCAGCCAAGGGTTACCTGATAAATGGAAGATCTCACTCCGACACCCTGTCTTTTCAAACACAAGCAATGACGATGAGTAAGCAAATGAAAAAAGTATGAAGGAGGTTTTGTTGGGCTCCATCAAGAAGAGAGTGTCAGCAGCCCTGGAGGGAGAGGAGATTGCAGCCATCTCCATTCTGGCTGTGGTCTCTTCTGGGAGGTTTCTCTCCCGTAAACGACATGGGGCAGCTGCTGCCATACCAGGGACTCCATCAGTGCCTTCTCCTGAGCACTTGACCACTGTACCATCCTCCACCCTGCCCTATGCCTGAGACTCAAACATTGCCTCTGCCCTGTTCTTGTTAGACCTGAGTGCCATGAGACCCAGTGGAGATGGAACTAGGGGCTCGGGCAGAAGGGCAGGCCTGGACCTTGATATTGGACATCTCTTCCCTCCCGGCTGGGCAGTTGCTTCCTTCTCTTTTGTTCCTGCCAGCTGTGCGTGGACAGGAAGGGTCCGAGGGATGATGCACCGACAGGAGACTAGTGATGGTGGAAGTCTCTCTTAAGCCTCTCCAAGGCCTCCCTTTATTGACTCCTCTCTTGACCTTTCACCTACTTCTTGTTTACTCTTTTCCCCACATCCTAATTAGCACA